ATTTTACCTGATGTGCCCGAAGAACATCGTGAGATCTTAAGGTCGCAAGGTTGCATCATTCGAGAAATTGATCCTATATATCCACCTGATAACCAGATTCAGTTTGCAATGGCATATTATATCATCAATTATTCTAAGCTCCGTATATGGAATGTAAGTATAGATTCTAAACACGCTGGTGTTATTGATGATGATACTAGGAGTTCTATTTATGCATGCATGTTCAAGCATTTTATTCTTCTTTTTTCCCTTTAATTCTATTTTAAAATGCATATTTCATAACATGCATTTGTGTATTTGATAAACATATAAATTTCTTAGCCATAATATTACATGCATATCTTCGTGCAAAGCATTAATCAAGGAGAAAACACTATACAACATTTAGTGTTCAATTGCTTCTATTCAAGTAATTTGAAATTGACTACCCTCTCTAGAGTTTGTGTATGTGTTACATGTTCATGTTCAATTGCTTTTCGCCACCCTGTTAGGTCCATCAGTTAATGGAAGATCTCAAGTATAACGTCTTCAAGAAACCAAGTTTCGGTCTACCCCTCGTGTGTTCTACCTAGATAACTGTCACCTTTATAAAATGGGGCCTCTTTTTGTCAAATCAGGCCTCAGTTACCACCTAAGTCATTCTTCTCTTAATTTTTCCTCAATGGGCACCACATTCACTTCTTGTCTGCATATCCTCATTCGTTATCAAATCATTTTAGTATGACCATACATCCATCTTAACATCCTCATTTTCGATATGTCCATCTTATCGAAAACCGTAATCATCTAAACTTCTTCCTTTTTTCTCGTTAATAATACAGTTTGAGGAGTACAACAAGATGGTTTACCTTGATGCAGACATCCAAGTTTATGAAAACATAGACCATCTCTTGGACACACCTAATGGTCACTTCTATGCTGTAATGGATTGCTTCTGCGAGAAGACATGGAGTCACTCCCCACAGCACTCCATTGGGTATTGCCAACAGTGCCCAGATAAGGTTACATGGCCTGCTGAAATGGGTTCACACCCTCCATTGTATTTCAATGCTGGGATGTTTGTGTTCGAGCCAAACAGATTTACTTATGAAAATCTTCTTCAAACTCTCACTGTCACTCCACCAACACCATTTGCAGAGCAGGTGAGTTATGTGTGTTGTTGTATAATAACAAAAGCTTCAATCTAATTTGAGATTTTCTAGAACCTTAGACGAGCGATTGTGCTTGAATGGGTATTCTACTGGCTACTTTGATAATCCCAGTGGCTAGGGAAACTTCTGAGCATTGGACAATATCAATTATAAAAGCAGTTAAGACATTAGGAGCTATGATAAGGTTTCAGTTCTGGTTGCTTAGGTATAATCACGAGTCCTCAATGTGTAGAATTATGCGAGGCATGTTTGGACTGAACCTTTTTTCCTTGAATTATACAGCCTAATATTGTGCCTTACACCTTACAGAAGAAACTAATAGGCTTCCAGTGCAATGTGGCTAAAATCTTTATGCAGCTGATTTATAAAATTAGTTGGAAGAACCGATGACAATGTTTAGGCAGGCCATTTTGTAGGATTTTTTGAACATCATTTCTAATTGCTTTACTTTGGAATGACAGGATTTATTGAACATGTTCTTCCAACAAACCTATAAACCCATTCCACTGGTTTACAACCTGGTTCTTGCTATGCTATGGCGCCACCCCGAAAATGTTGAACTCGATAAAGTTAAAGTTGTTCACTACTGTGCTGCTGTAAGTATTTACTATCTAAAAACCATTTTGCCCGTAGAGAATTATACATATGAGCGCATATTTCGTTTGTAGTGTAAGATTGTGTAACGGACAAGAACTTAACTTCTTTTCAGCCAAGCTTAAAAGAAACTCAAACTTACTTTTAAGTAACTTTTGATTTCCAAACATGTTTGAATATTTTTACTTTTTCTTAATTATGAGTAAAAAATTACTTACTTTTGACATGGTACGTGATAATTTCAATTTCTAACTTTGAATTTCAAACATTTTTAAATTCTAAATCATTCTTATTGATTAACATGGAATTTACTTTAAACTAATTATTTAAAGCTTAGTCAAACATACACCTAATATTGTTCGGTACATATACTGTCCGCCTTTCTCGACAAGATACTGGGCTTATTGGTACTTCTTTAAAAAAAAAAAATAATAATAAAAAATAAAAATAAAAAAAATAAAACCTTCACTAACATGGTTTAATTTCCTAACAGGGATCAAAGCCATGGAGGTACACAGGCAAAGAAGCCAACATGGAGAGAGAAGACATCAAGATGCTAGTCAATAAATGGTGGGACATTTATAATGATTCATCCCTTGATTTTAATGCTGAAGAATCAGAAGTTTCAGAGGAAAAAACCTTCTCATTACCATCAATCATGGCTGCAGTGCCTGAACCTACAGTATCCTATATTCCTGCTCCTTCTGCTGCATAAACGAAGAAAATATCTGTCTTTATCACTGTGTGCAACTAAAAAATATGCATATATAGTTTGCTGCTGTATGATTTTGATATAATCATATATATCTAGCAGCAAATCAAGAAATATGTAATTTTTTTCCCTTGCAACTACTATGAAATATCCACTATTATCTGAAATGATAAAAGGACTCTTGGTAACAGATTAGACTATTGTTCGAACAATTCCTCCAATCTATCCCCGGAGTGCAAGGAGCTTCTATAAAATATCCATATATTGTATAACCCTATGGAGGCTATATCTATATCAATTCTCTTTTCAAATTCTCTTTTCAAATAAATAACAATATTAATGCTCACTGAAAAATAATCAATCTTAAAATGGATTTTTCTAGAGCACCACATAAAACTAGGAGTAACAGATCAAATATCATAAATCAAGGGTTCAGCTGTGCATAAAGCTAGTGTTCAAAGGCTTAAGAACATTTTACGCTACAGATGAATTTTCACAATCCACCATAATAACCATAAAGTACAATCCAATCCAGTGCAAGTGATTTTCGAAAATATGTAGCCCTCAAAAAATGAGTAAATTTCCACCAAAATGGGTTCCATAGCGCATGACTAAAGAACGCTTACAGATCTCAAGAACTAAATGTTAGGTTTGTGACTCTAATATGGATTAGGAGTCTTGAGATTATGTGTTTGACTTAGCTTAGAAAGGAATTAATTAGAATTCAAGTTTGAAAAGGAAATCAAATTGTATCCTAGATAAAATAGGAAACTAGAATCTCATCCACGTTTTCTCCTAATTATAATATATTTCCTTACCTTTTAGGACTATTTTAGGTTTTTGGTCGTGGCCTATAAATTAGAGGCACCTCTTTTCCGTTTTAATTGTAACAGTTGGCTAAATTGGCTTGTATTCTCCATATTGTTCAATAAAAATATCGTTTCCTCTGTGTTTTCTTTGTTCCTCTTTTACAAATTTAATCTTGTTTTTGGTCGCATGATCTAGTTTACTTCATAATTGTCATTATAATCTCCTTCTTCAAAATCCATTGGAATCAACTTGTATTTTTGGAGCTTCCGCGCCCAACACTAAAAGCTTCCTCACATTCTTCATATTCCTCATCTAGGGTATCCAATTCCTGGATTACTTCATCGTTGAAAAGAAAAGATGCTTGTTCTTGGAGGCTTTCAGTCATTTAACCCTATGGCAAAAATTATCTTATCTTTGATGCAATCCTCGACAACCTTTCTCTTGGTTATTGGAAACTGTAACCCATGAAGGGAAATGCACTCTTCTTTGAAACTCAAGTCATTTGAAGACAAGATCAGACCAGCAATTGTTTTGACAAGATCGTGCATACTTGCAAATCTGAGGAATGAAAACAGATTTCAAAACCTCAGGGATAAATTTATGGGAAAGTAGATAGAATAATACATTCAAGTTTTTAAGAGGTTCATCATTTATCATCAACAATTCTATATATAATATATAGAAAAAAGATCCATATCGAAACTTTTTTTTTTTGTGGCATATTTCTTTCCTTTTTTCTTTAAACTTCTGTGGGTGAAAATGGTCAGATGTGTTTTGTCTAATAGTTCATTTGAAAGAAATTAACAAATATCAACCACTTCGTGGCTAAACAATAGAATTTGTTAGTACCCTAAAGCTAAAAGAAACCTGGTTTCAAATGCTATAACTATCATCATGCCAGAAGAAATTTTGCTAACTGTTACCCATCACTTGCAAACTCCAGCCATTACGGTGTGTGAGTATAGTTTAAAAAAAAAAAAAAAAAAAAAAAAAAAAAAAAAAAAAAACACCCCTAAAAAAAAGGTCCACCTTATGCTTTAGACTAATACTAATGCAATGATGAACCACATTGTATTTCGTGGATGATGACATTTTATGTATTATAAGCATAGAAGAGCCTGTCATCCATGAAACCAGAAATAAAGACAATTCCAAGTAATGTGCATGGCATTATTGGAAAAAATATTATATTTTCTTTAGGCTTTAACTTTCAATGTGTTTTTGGGAAATTGCAAATATGGTTGCACCATAGACATTTTATCTATATATTTTAATAAATAGCCTTGAAGGAGATGATAAAAAAAAGGGACTAATACAAGATCTGCTTAAAGAACATTCCCAAAAGAACTTTTCTAGCTTGATGCTAAATATTTTAGGATTGTTAAGTAGCTAGAATACTTCATTCAACCTTAAGCGCACGTTCACTGAGTAGATCTCCTCCATTCTTTTCTATTACAACCAGCTCACCAACAGCATCAACAACAATCAACGGCAATCAACACAAAGAAATTTTCTTTTATAGTTATTTCCATATCATAGTTCTTATCATGTATAGATTGGATTCTCACCTATAAATTTATACAAAATCATTGTAACATACATGGAGGAAATAATATAATCTTCAATTCTTCCCTTAATCATACCTGTGTGTATCGACTTTTATTATGGTATCAGAGCAACCTCCTTCCTGCTGCCTCCTCTAATTTCTTTGACCTTCGAAACCAACAACTACCATGTCTGATTTGACATCGTTGACACCTTCACAATTGATCAACGACCTCACATCCCCATATTTCTTAACACCTGCTGCTGATAATCCTGGTGATGTGCTCGTCCCCGATCTCCTCACTGGAGAAAACTATGCAGCCTGGAAACGCTCGATGCGTATGGCCCTTAATGCCAAGAACAAACTTGTCTTTGTCGATGGAACTCTAAAGCGACCACCTGATGCTAACACTACCAACCTTTGGGATCGTTGCAGTGATATGGTTCTCTCTTGGCTCTTAAATTCCATCGATAGGCACCTTAGACAAAGTTTGATCTACTGCACCAAACCTTCTGATGTATGGACTGATCTGGACAACTGATTCTCTCAAAGCAATCACCCTCGTCTCTACCGCCTCCAACGTGATTTGGCTAACCTCAAACAAAACGTCATGTCCATCGCCACATACTACAATACAATTAAAGGAATCTGGGATGAGATCAATGCACTAACCGATGCCAACTCCTGCACTTGTGATGCTCGCAAAAAGGCCGAAGACACAGCCAGTACCGAACGACTCTTTTAATTCCTTATGGGCCTCAATGACTCCTTTTCCAACATTCGAAGCCAAATTCTCGCCATGGACCCCCTGCCCACAATCTCCAGAGCATATGCCACCAAACACCAAGAAGAGACACAACGCCTCCTACAAATTCCATTATTACCCAATCCCGAAAACTCGGCCATGGCTGTCTCACACAACAATTTTTCAGCTAATCACAGCTTCCGTTCCCGTAGCAGTAGAAAATGCACAAAGTGTGGGAAAGATGGACATCAAGAAGCCTCCTGCTTTGAAATCATTGGCTACCCTTCCCATTGGAACACCAATAAGCCGAGGCATCCCCCGCAATCCACACCTGTCAAAATCGGCCACACGATTCAGGCAGTAATCGGCCACCCACAGCGAAAATGGTGTCCCGTACCTCAACCCTTCCACGTCGAGTGCAATCCCTGGCTTATCTCACGAGCATTACTGACAATTGATGGAAATGTTGGAACCCAGCACCGTTGCACACTCGGCCTTCTCTGGTATCTCTCTATCATCTCCCCAAATCGCCCCAGGTCCCTGGATTATAGACAGTGGGGCTTCAGCCCACATTTCTTGTGTTTCTAACTTACCCAAAGCCTCACATGTTTGGGCCCATAGTCAATCCCTTACATTACCCACACGCTTCAAGGCCCAAGTCACACATATGGGCCACATCCATATTTCTCCCCATTTATGTCTACATAATGTTCTTTTTGTTCTCGATTTTAAATATAATTTAATCTCCGTAAGTCAACTCACAAAATCGTTTAATTGTGTTACTATATTTTCCTCTTCTATTTGTTTATTTCAGGACCTACGCATGAGGAAGCTGATTGGGATGGGTGAAGAACGTGGAGGTCTCTACCATTTTAAATTATTTAATCATGTTGCATTTCAACTCACAGCGAATCCTGTAGCCATACCGGACCTATGGCATCTTCGTTTAGGTCATCCTTCAAATTCTTGTATTCCAAAAATTTTATGTGATTCAAATAAAGTTAGAAATTGTGATAGTTGTATTCGTGGTAAACATATGCGCCTTTCCTTCAAACTGGTCGAAAATAAAAGTACTTTTACCTTTAACCAAATTTATTGCGATAGTTGGGAAGAATTTTCCACACCCTCTACAATTGGTTCACACTATTTTCTCACAATTGTTGACGACTTTTCACGTGTTACTTGGGTATACCTCATGTGTTTTAAATCTGATACATTTACTTGCCTAACCACGTTCATTAAAATGATCCACACGCAGTTTAATTGCCCTATCAAACATATTAGGTCTGATAATGGTCAAGAATTTCTTTCTCATCGTATGCAACAGTTCTTCCTTGACCATGGGATCATTCATGAGCGCACTTGTGTTGAAACACCCCAACAAAATGGTGTAGCAGAACGAAAACATCGTCACCTGCTAAATGTAGCTCGATGTCTTCGCTTTCATGCACATTTACCTATTACCTTTTGGGATGAATGCATACTTACTGCCACTTATCTGACTAACCGCATTCCAACTCCCACGCTTGATCACAAAGCGCCTTATGAACTCCTTTTCAACAAACCTCCTACCTATGATCACCTCCGTGTCTTTGGATGTCTTTGCTATGCACACACTTTAAGTGTCCACTGGGACAAGTTCTCTCCTCGTAGCACACCATGCATATTCTTAGGCTACTCTCAAACTCTACATACCTATCGTGTTTATGACTTGCAAATCAAGAAAATTTTCCTCTCTCGTGATGTCTACTTTGTAGAATCTACTTTTTCCTTCGCTCCTACCATGCAACCTTTCCACACATCATCAGATACCAATCAGCCCCTTGATGTACCTTACAGTATCCCATCTCCAACCCACGTTTCCCATGACACCCCCGACTCATCTCCTTCATCCATGCCAGACATGGAACCAACTATACCAACACCACAAGTTGTTGATGGACCTACCAACTCCCTTGAAATCGTCACCAGCTCAACCCCACCAACTAGACCTCGATGCACGATCACTTGTCCCACATATCTTCAAGACTACATTTGCTCAGATTTACCTTTAGAGGGACCACGTTCATCATCTCATTCCCAGTCTTTCTCAGGTACGGTTCACTCTCTACCTAATTTTCTTTCTTATTATTTCTTTAGTCCAAAACATTTTGCTTTCCTCTCTTCTATCTCCAAAAATGTTCAAAACCCCGTGCTTTACTCTCAAGCTATTCTTGAGCCGCATTGGTAACAGGCAATGACTTCTGAAATTCAAGCCCTTGAAACCAATCATACATGGACCCTTGAACATCTTCCCTCTGGTAAGAAGGCAATGGTTGCAAATGGGTTTATAAAAACAAAATTGTGCGCCGATGGTTCCATTGAACACCATAAAGCTCGTTTGGTTGCCAAGGGTTTCACTCAAGTTGAAGGTCTTGACTATAATGACACTTTTGCTCCTGTGGCTAAACTTGTTACTGTTCGATGTCTCCTTGCTATAGCTGCAGCTAAACACTGGATTCTTCAACAATTGGATGTTCACAATGCTTTTCTCCATGGTGATCTTGATGAGGAAGTGCATATACGTCCACCACCAGGATATTGTCGTAAAGGGGAGACTCGCGTTTGCCGTCTCCACAAATCATTATATGGTCTCAAACAAGCCTCACGTCAGTGGTATTCAAAATTATCACATGTTCTCATCCTTGCAGGTTTTGATCAATTTGCTACTGATCATAGTCTCTTCACCAAAACCAAAGGTACAACCTTTACTGTCGTTCTTGTCTATGTTGATGATATCATTGTTGCTGGTAATGACAGCTCTGCCATCAGTTCTATCAAACAGCATCTTGCACAGACCTTCAAAATCAAGGATCTTGGTGATCTCAAATATTTCCAAGGGATTGAAGTTGCTCGATATCCTAAAGCCATCTTTATCAATCAAAGGAAATATACCTTGGACATTCTTACTGATTGAGGTCAACTTGGCTCTCGCCCGGCATATTTTCCCATGGAACAACATTGCAAACTTAATGACTCAGATGGTGATCTTATAAACGATCCTAGCTCATATCGACGCTTGATTGGTCATTTGATTTATTTGACCATCTCTCGTCTGGATATGACCTTTGCAGTCAACATTTTGAGTCAGTTTATGCACACTCCTCGCCAGCCTCACCAACATGCTGCTATCCACTTGCTCCGCTATCTGAAAACTACACCTGGTTATAGACTCTTCTTTCCATCCAACTGCAATCTTCAGATATCTGCTTTTTGTGACTCTGATTTGGCAAGTTGTCCACTCACACGATGCTTCACAACTAGTTTCATCATCAAATTGGGCGACAGCCCCATCTCTTGGTGCACCAAGAAACACACAACTGTTTCTCACTCTTCTACTGAAGCTGAATATCGTGCGATGGCCACTACAACTTGTGAACTTGTTTGGCTTTGCCTCCTTCCACAGGAACTTACTGTGCCGCATTCACATCCTATTCTGCTTCACTGTGACAATCAGGCGACAATCCACATTGTACGTAATTCGGTCTTCCATGAACGTACCAAACACATTGAATTAGATTGTCATCTTGTTTGTGAAAAAATCAAATCTGGTCTTATTGCTCCCTCCTATGTTTCAAGCTCTCAACAGTTAGCTGATCTTTTTACTAAACCATTGGGTCGTGAATTATTTGTCTTCTTTCGGTCCAAGTTGGGCATTACGGACCTCCATGCTCCAACTTGAGGGGGAGTATTACAACCAGCTTACCAACAGCACCAACAGCAATCAACGGCAATCAACATAGAAATTTTCTTTTATAGTTATTTACATATCATAGTTCTTACCATGTATAGATTGGATTCTCACCTATAAATTTATACAAAATCATTGTAACATATATGGAGGAAATAATATAATCTTCAATTCTTCCCTTAATCATACCAGTGTGTATCGACTCTTATTATTTTCCTTCAATTCATTCAATGCAAACTTGATAGCTTTTCTGATAAGGCTTCGATCAACTTGACTACTTTCTGTGCAAGGCAGTATCATGGCCGTGGCAGCAAGTTAAGGAACAGATACAAGCAAACATATATGAATTAAACGCTACATATAAAAGCCTATTACTATAGTTGAATATCTGAAGAAGTTAAGAGGTCATGACAGCTGGTACTTATTGTAATAGGAAAGGCTATTTTTTGTGATAACTGTGGATGACAATGTCAATGTGGGCACATGGTGGGCAAGTTCTGCCATTCTAATAATGTGCAACTATCTTGATCTACCATGCTTAAATTTAATCCATAATCTTTCCATTTGATGCTTGTCAATGCATCCAGAGATGATTTAAAATTGAACAAGGTGAGTAGTCCTTGAAATACAGGACGTAGGCACAGAAATTAAAGATCAATCAAGAAATACAAGCAAACATGCAGATAATTTATTTTATTATCCTCAGTAAGGAGTAAGAACCATTAGTAGCAAGCAACCCGGGAAAAATAGAAGAAAAAAGATGGCAATTGATATAGTGAAGTTCAAATTTTTTGCGATTAATACTCCACAGTTATAATTCAAGCCTGTGTAGTTCATCATATTTACTTATATACTATATTTTTCCCTCATTGGGATGGGAGCAAATAAGGTTTCTTGACAAGGAAACTACAGCGAATTACTTATTATAGTTGCTTCTATTTTTCAAATCTATCTATCATATTGGCAGGACCTTAATAGTCAAACTCACATCAAAAGATATCATCGATTCAAAAGCATGCATGCAAAGAGAAGAGAAGAGGCATGAAATAGCTCAATGCAATCAAGATTTCAGCTTCAATTTCAGTTATAAACTGAACATACCAAACTACCAAGTAGACACCTTAGATCAGACTTTGGGAAACTTAGCAGAAGACATTTAGTAGTTTGACTTCCTATGAAAAATGTACTATAAAATGGATGACACAAATACTTTGAATTTTCATAAATAGGAAAGATCATTGTTTTGTTGCCAAGATCACACCTCTGTTTT